TTATAAATAAAATTTAAAAAATCTAGATTTTAAATTTTAAATCTTAAAAAAATTTGAAATTTGAAATTTTAAACCTTCTCTCTTAAAATCACATTTCATAACTAACAATCTTACAAAATACCTTCATAAATCGGGTGATAATTCCAATAAATTAATATATAATTATAAGATAATAGAAACCAAAATAAGATAAAATACCTCGTTTAAAATTAGATCCTAAAAAACAGGTATTCATCTATATTTCTCACTCTCCCTCTCACAATCAAATACTACTTCTTTTTACACTCCCTATATTCAAGAACTCTCCAAAATCACTATAGATCCTAAAAAACAGGTATTCTTCTATATTTCTACTCTCACTCTTACTGTCCCTCTCCCTCTCACAATCAAATACTATTTCTTTTTACACTCTGTTTTCAAAAACTTTCCAAAATCACTGCAATTTCTCCACTGTAGGGAGTCGAAGGTCTGAAATTATCTTTTATCGAGTATGATTGTACGATAGTGTAATAATCTTTTAAATTGAGAATCTTGAAATGAAATTACAATTTATCGAGCGTAACATTTATATTGAAAATCTTGAAATCAAAGTCAAGCATGACTGTGGCACGATTTGGAAAGCTCTGATTTGCTACAGTGATATAGTGCTTGATTCAATATACTGTATGAATTTTGTGTTGGATTGTCAGGGGTGGGGGTATTATGTGGTGGGGATGGGGACCATAATCACATGTGAAGATTTGAGGGGACAAAAGGGTTATTAGAGTGAGGAATTGTTGCGTTAAAAACTGACTGATGAACAAAACTAATTAGTCCTTCTTTCATGTTGTTATGAGTTTTAGTTCAAGAGTGGGTTGAGTATTGTTGATTATTTATAGAATGAGGAGAAAGAAGCGGAGGAGGTGGTGGAGGTGTTTCATTTAGAGAGAGAAATTGACCGAGAAAGATTTACAGCTTGTCAACGAGAGAATATAGTCGGCTGGACGAAGTATTGCTAATTTATACATACTGGCCGTGACCGTGACCGTGAAAATATTTAACTTCAATACATATATATGAGAATTTTTGTACTTTCTCAAAACTGTATTCTTGTCAAGTAAACTATAAAAAAAAAAACCATATTCTTGTTCTTTAATTGGCCATTTACATAAATTTTTAGATAACTCGTTTTATTGACAATTAGTGAAAATGAGTAAAGAACTCGTCTTCAATCTTCTTGGTCAAAAATCATAGTGAAGTTATTAAGTTATATATTTGTACTTAGAACATTGGAAATGCATGCAAATGTCTCAATGACAACAAATTAAACATTATTCCCAATAACTATGTTACGAATCCGAACTTAGTATCTAAGTAAATTGCTCCCAATCATCGTCCAAGTGAAATAACTACTACCACAACAATGATAAGCACATAATAACAAGCATAAATAATAAATTTCTGAACAAGACTTTAAACTAGGAAAGAGTGGCATAGAATTCATGAGGTAACTTCCCAGGGTGAATAACTAATGAGCTGTTATTATTCCAATAAATTGTAGTTATTCAAAATTACCGCAATAACAATGATGAAAATAACTTAATAACAAAGGAAATAACAAAATAAAAATAAAAATCAAGGACATCATAAACCAAGTTGTCAAGCATGAGAATCACATAACCCGAACCTACGCATCTTCACCTTGTGTCTTTTTGGCATTTGTCTCATGACAAAGGCAAAAACGGGATTTCTTGGTAAATTCCCTTGAAGGAATTATGAAA